GAGACCGCAGCGTTGCCTCAGGCTTGGTCTCAGTGACCACTCCTTCAGATGTCCGTCCCCTGCCCCGTCCCCTCGGGCCTGTGCCGTGCTGTGTTGAGCAGCGGGCCTCTGAGCACCGAGCTCGCTCCCGCCCAGAGCCACGAGAAACATCCTGAAGGATTGGTCGTTTCGATTGGGTCACTTACTGTGAAACTCGGTACCGACCACACGCTCTCGATAGTACTCACCCACGCAGTCAAGTGACCTCCGGTTGTCCCATCTTCATACTGTGTTGCCGCCCTCAGACGTGGCCGGGTCGGCTCCGAGGAGCCGGGGGACTTGGCAGTGCCTTCCTGAGGGCCAGCACAGCCGAGGGCCCGCGTCCCGCCACCCCATCTGGGTCCTCCGCGGCCACCCCGGCCTTGACCAGGCAGACGGGGCCCCTTCTGTCCCTTTGAGTGCTGTGGGGGACCGCCAGCCGTGGGCTCCTCGCCGGATGCCAGGAGCAGGGCACGTGCAGGTACAGCCCCCGCTACAACAGTCGCTGCCCTGCCGCGCGTCGTGTGACCGCGAGGGCACGCGGGCAGTTCGGGGCAGCCTCCCCGGGCCCCTCGGAGCTGGAGCCTGTCTCAGGGCCCAGCATGTCTGTCGCCGACCGTCATTGGTCCCGGCCAGGTCCCCTGCTAGTGAAGGACTCTGGCCTCCCTGTAACGAAGACGCCTGTAGGAGAGAGCCCGAAGGCTGCTCTGCTCTGTCGGCGGGATGGAGCCCCAGGACAGCGTGTGGAGACTCTATCACTTGAGTTGTTCGAACGGGTCCCTCGGCCCTGCTGTCCTCACCTTGAGCTCGTGGGGTGTTCCTGTCAGGCGGGGCAGAGCGTCCTGGTGCACTGGGCGGGCGGGGCTCCGGGCAGGAGGGCGTAGCGTGTGGCTCCTAGCCCGGGAGCATTTCCCGTAAAGCCGGGAGAGCTCCGGGTGTCGGCGGCGTCTGCCCTTAGCCAAGGAGGGCCCCGGGAGTGAGCAGGGCAGGCCGGTGGCCCGGCGACGCCCGGCCCAGTGCAGTCCAGTCCGGCCCTCCGCGAGGGCCCAGCCACAGCGCTAACACAGTATGAAGATTGTCACTGATTCCAATGTCATTTTATTGCATGTCTGTTTACTTTTTGTTAGATGTAACGTAAGACCCTTACACAACCATGCCCTCTGACATTACTTTGAGTTAATTGAGATTCTTTAAGCGTTAGCCTGGGGAAGGTAAGTCTCTATCTTCCATTAGACATTTTAAGTAGCGCCTAAGTAAAGCCACTGTGTTTCTCAGGTATGAGCTGCCGGTGCGGGGCGGGCTCCGAGCTGCCCCCGCGGAGGTGCCCTCCGCCGCGGCGTGGCCGGGGGTGGGGGGCAGGCTGGGAAGACCCCGGCCCCTTTTTCTCCCCGGGTTTTCCAGAGGCCATTGAAGGGAAGCGTTGCCATTTTAACTGGAGCGGGACCCCTCGGCCGGCTCGAGGCCCCGGGGTGGGGCTCAGCCCGCCGCAGGGGCAGGGGTGCAGGGGTCTCCAGCTGCATCTGTTGTACCTGAGAAACATTTTTTAAAGATTTTTTTAAGAAAAAAGCTACTACTGGCCTAAGTAAGGTTATAGTTAAGTACTTAGTCTTAAGGCGTAAGCTGCTAAGCGTAGCCATAAGCTACCCGCGGGCGTGTCTGAAGGGAAGGGGTGCTGGGCACAGCCGCGCCCTGAGCTGGGGCTTGTTTGTTCAGGTGGAGGTTAAGCGGGCAGAGCCTCGGGACAGTAAGAGCCAAGCTCCAGGACAGCCGGGTGCCAGCCAGTGGGGCAGCCGGGTCGTGCCCAGTGCTGCCAACGGCTGGGCAGGCCAGCCCCCGCCCACGTGGCAGCAAGGATACGGCCCCCAAGGTAAGTGGGAGGCGCGGCCGGGAGGGCCCGGGGCGGGGCGCCAGCTGGACACGCGGCGGGGCCTGGCCTCCCAGGGGCCGAGTGCCGACGCAGGGGTCCCAGGGCACCTGGTGCCCGCACGCATCCCGTCCCTCTTGGACCCACAGCGGTGCCAGGCTCGGCGGAGGTACCTGGCAGCCTCGGGCAGGCGAGCCCGGCCAGTGCCGGCCACCCACCCGCCCTGGCGCCCAGGTGCCGTGACCTGCGGGTGAGTCGTCACCTGCCGTCGCGTGTGCACGTCCTCCGGGGCCAGGGCAGCCCCCGTCTGC